TCAGCAGAGCTCCTGGCTGTGCTGGCTGTGGCCCGAATGAGCTGGGACTGGTGTCTCTCACTGCTGGGAGATGGTGTGGTTGGGCAGGAAAAGGCTCCTGTTTGCTATAGGAAGGCAGCACCACAACCGGTCTGGGTTGCAAAGCATTTGGGGAAGATGCCAGTCTTGCCATTGCAGCGTCCTTCGAGCCAGTCGTCATTCACTAGGAAAACAAAGGAGCAGGATGAGCCCTGGTCCATATAAGTGGGGTTAGCGAGAGTTTTTACGGCTGGAATTTAACTCTGGGCAAAACCCAGTGCAAGCCTGTATCTCCTGAGAGCATGAGCCTGAGACAGCACTGGAGAAGCCATCTATTCCCCAGTCCCTCCCTGCAGCAGACACCAAAAGCCTGCCCCAGTACAGCCTGCAGGCAGGACTGGAGAGCTACCTTCAGAGAGAATATCCAGCACGTCTCCCTTGCTGAACTCCAGGTCCCCCGGTCCCTGCGCAAGGTATGAGTGCTGAGCCAGCATCTGGTAGAGGACGGGTCTGCCCGAGTGGGAGTCCGAGTCCTGCAGGAGAAAGTCAGCAGGGAGGTTGCAAGGCAAAGCAGAGATTTGAGTCCAGCCCAGCAGAAAAGCTTGTCACAGCCCACGTACCTGGCAGCAGAGCGTCAGCCTGCCATCTGTCAGCTGCTGCCACATCTTCCCTAGATCCTCCTCTCCCGAAACTGCACCCAGTTCTTTGCCATCCAAAAGCCTGTAGCTGCAAGGGTTCATTAACATGGCTCAAATCATCTCACTTCAAGCCAAACTCTGAGGCAAGCCTAGCCCTCTAACATCTCCAGTCTTCAAAGTCCCCTTTGTAAGCAGCTCTGAACTTGTCACCTTGCACGATGACGTGGGGCCACCCTGCATGCTCAGTGGGCAGAAACGGCACTGTCAGGGAGCGACACTGTCACCTCCTCACACACTCACTTGAGGGGAAGATCCTAAATTCTTCTGACTACGTGGACTGTGTGCCCCCAGGGATGTCGCAGTCAGGGAGACCTCACCCCCGGACCAACTCCCAAATTGCTCTGCATTGATCCCAGTGTACCTCAAAGGCTGAGCTGAGCGGGAGAAAATGCAATATACAGCAGCTGCATCTGCACCGAGTTTTTCCTTCCGTTCCCCCATTTCTTGACCATGGTACAGTTTCCTGGCAAAGACCCTTTGGGCCTCCAAAGCCCACAGAGCACATGCTGTTCTCAAAAGCGAAAGCCATGGTAAGGTTAGCCCTGCAAGGAAGGCTGCGTGCTCCCATCTTTGCTGAAATCTCTGCTAGAATGCTTTGACCCCAATTAAACGTCCCCAGGAGACCAGAGGCAGGTCTGTATCCTCAGGGGAATGGCTGCTGCTGCCCTGTCACGCACACTCACGCACCGAGAGCACCGGAGGGCCCGGCTGTGCCGCAGCGTACCTCAGCTTCCCTCGCTCTGCTTGCTGGCCGAACCGCTCCCTCAGCAGAGCCCGCAGGTCCGGCAGCGACGGCACCTCGCCTGCCCTCACCACCACGGTGCACTCACAACACGCTCTCAGCACAACAGGTCTGTCCGGGCTGGATGAAGCTTCTCCGTGGGTCGGTGGGATGTGCTGAGAGATGTGGCACTGTGGACAGTCTGGTTATTCAGGACTCTCGTATCAAGAGAGGTGACACAGACACAACCCCTCGTCTCAGCGGCACCACGTAATGGTAGTGCAGCATCAAAATGCAGATCTGAATTTCAGAGGGGGAACTACAAATTCAAAGCCTGGGATCAAACATTCCTCCAGGAAACCTGTTTCTGGGTCCAGTCGCACAGGTACCCCCCAAACCCAAAAGATTATGAGCAGGCCCCCAACTCCTCCAGCCAGCCGGAGAGGTGCAGCCAAGTCCCCAGGTTCTGCTGCCTTCTGTCTGAAGTACAGCTTACAAAAAAAGTACTCATAAAGCCCTACAAAGAGGGGTGGCAAAGACAAAGGGAGCAGAGCTGATCTGCAACTGGTGCTGCTGGAGAGGTGCTGTCCCCAAGTGGACACAGGAGCAATTCCAGCTCCATCACACCCAGTGGCTGGTAGTGGCACGGAGGTGGTTCAGAGGACATCATCCCAGAAGATCGCAAATATCAATGAATCGTGGCACTCAGACCGACAGGGACAGAAAATGCCATGCAGGAGGAAGGGGAAAGGTAGTTCAAAACCAGCTCTCTTTTGCAAAATGGGCTGTAAAGTGCATGCCTGAGAACGTTGCTGCATCTGGGGCTCTTGGCTCCTTGGAGGGTGCAAAAGGGCACTGCCCTGGTGAGCCTCAACCTTGGGGTGCTTCACGAAATTGTACAGTCACAAACTTGGGAGTGTTGGAGGAAAGATCACATGGGAGCCTTTCTTTGGAATGGAAAAACGGGCAGAGGAAGATGTTTTTCCAGTGATTTGGGGGCAGCTCAGGAATTTTGGAGGATCTGGCCAGGAATCTTGCACTTTTCACAGCCTTGATCTCTTGAGGCTGTGCCAGCTTCGGCTTGCAAAACACCTTACCTTGAAGTCTATTTGGGCACCAGCATCATTTGCAGAAGCATCTTCTCCCTCGGGAGATTCTGCAGAACAAAACAAGAGCAGAGGAACAGCGCCTGCAGTCAGCAGAGGCCCCCCGCAGCTCTTCTGCAACCCGCTAGCACACAAGGAGCCAGGGCTGCAGTGGGCAACCAGTCTCCCCAGGCACCCCTAAAGCAGGGGGCTCTGGGCCCAGGGTCACATAACCCCCCTCGTCCAGGGGACTACCTGGCTTCGGCTTCACATGGAGTCGGCTGGGAGGCACCTGGGCAGGAGGGAGGGGAATCCCATTGCTGATCTTCTGCAACGGAACAACATCAGAAAGAAGTGAGCAGAGGACACCGGAGCCTGGGCAAGGCTGGTGTGCATGACAGAGGCTGCAGCCAGGTATGAATTTCCAGGTGTAACCCCAGAGAGAGCACCAGGGAACCCAGTTCATTAACTGGCTGGATGAGGCGAAGCACTCAGGCTCTCCATGGCCTCTGCAGCTCTGATGGATAGCAGGGGTGATGAGAGGTTTGGTGGGACGCTTCCTTGGCCTCCTGCCCCTCGCTGGGTTGGTGCTGGAGCAGAGGGAGGGTGCTCATGCTGCACTGAGGGTTCTCCCCACCATCTGCTGGCTTACCTGGGAACTCAGGCTGGTTCACAGGGAGACATCCAAGGAGCAAATGCCCAAGTGTGTGTGATGGCCAGGGATTCATTTGGAGGGGGGGAAAAAAAATGGTAGCAACATCAGAACAACCATGTGCTTCAAAAATCTCTCCCAGGAAACAGGGTTCTGAGTTGCACCTTTCTGCACTGGGTTCAGACAGAAAATTATTTGGCTCACGTGTGGATATGCCTGTGGTGGAGATGGGAGATGAAGGAAGTTTTCCTAGTTCACAGGTGAGGGTTTAGGGCTTAGGTGTATGGCCTCAAGGCAAAAAGTGGTGTCTGTTTAAGATATTATTATCTCACTGCAGGAGGTTAACCTGCTCTCACTCTGCTGATGAACTAGAACATGTGAGCACTCCTCACCCACTTCCATGCTACATCTAGTGGCTGCAGGCATCACAGGAGCAGGCTGGGCAAACACATGCCTCAAGCCCTCAAACTCATCATTGTGTTCCAGTGGCTCAACAGTGGGCGAGGAGAGCTGTGGCAGCTGCTCACCTGTGTGCGCTCCGTCAGCCCACAGCAAACAAGAGACACCACCACCTAGATCAGCCTGTGATGCAAGCCACTGGGCTTGGATATGTGTCCAAACCCCCAGATTTTGCTGGAAAGGGATCTGATGTACAGAAAAAAAATAAGCGTTTTTCCTGCTCTTAACTCTTCTGTTGTTCCAGTTCAAGAGCGCTGGGTCTTCACTCAAGGTGTCTGAGCTGAAACACTCTATGCTTCTCTTGCACAGATGTTCTATTCTGTGATAATCTTACAAACAAATGTCCCAAATGTGTTTCTTGGTTCCTTCCTCACCCCCAGTTGCAAGGCTGTCAGCTCACCCATTTATCCATCTTCGAGGCAGGCTCCAGGAGAGAGCTCGGTATGCGCAGCTTCTGCGGGACAGAAAGTGGAGCAGGGTGAGACAGGAGCCGCTGCTGCGCAGACGCAGCCCCAGCCCACCCAGCCCCATCTTCTGGTCGCCCCGCTCCACGCTGCTTCTGCCCTTGCAAAGCAGCACTGCCTGCTCACCCCGCCGCAACACCGCTGTGCCCATGCAGGGCCCAGGGTCAGCTATGGTAGCCCATGTGGTTTGTGCTCAGAAATTGCTGAACAAAATCCAAGGGTCCCTTTGCATCTTTTTCTGCTGAAATCAGTGGTGCTAATTGAGTGGCTGGGATGTAACAGACCAAACGCCCACCAAGCCCAACACCCTGCTCCTGAAATAGATGCTTAGGAAGAGAGCAGCAAGGATGTCAAGGGATACCAGGCCGGCAGCATTTCTGTGCCTTCTGACAATCACTGCTATAGAGCTATTAATTTCAACTGATCATTGTGAGTAATTATGCTTCCCCCCCCCCCCCCCCGTCTCTTCATTTCTTTTTTTTTTTTTTTTGTTTTCTTTTCATCC